GGACGCTGGACCCGGTTTCCAGCAGGTGATGCTCCCCACCAATAGATGGAGCTGGTTAATTAAAAAAAAAAAAAAAAGAGGACTTGTCTTTCATTCATGCGCGTACGATCTGAAACCACGGTTTGGTCAGGTCACCCCCAGGCTGGAGGTGACGATCCTGAGTGGTAGACACTGAGGTAGGATAGTGGGAGTAGGAGTGCGCCGGGGTAAATTATGAAAGAGGCCGGTTGGGAGGGAGTCCCATAGGATTAGGGGGGCCCTACCACATCGCCGCGTGCCGAAGGTGACTCTCATATGTCTGTAACCCAGCCTCTACAACAAGCTGGGCTAAAAAAAAAAGTGGTCTGACAGATAAGATATAGAGGCTGAATTTTTTATATATATTTTTAAAAGGCTAATTCCCTAAGGCCAACCAATTCAATTACCTGTCGAATCTGGACAGGACGGCCTTTCAGGCCTTTTTTTACGACACCGGCTAAAGCAGGTGGGGGATACCGGCCAGGGGTCAGCAGGTAGCATCAGGACCGGGCATCTTCGATGGGCCAGTCACTGTGCCTCCCCTCCGGTCCCCTCCCCCTATGAGCATCAGCGGTCTCTGCTTAATGCCACTAGGGGGGGCATATCTCTAGGTGGGGGCTGCCAAGCATGCCCAGGAAGGCACATAAGGCCATGGGGATTGAACCCAAGACCTCCTGAATGCCACTTGCGTGCCTTACCAACTGAGCCGCTGGATTTTTTTTTTTGGGAAAAAGGCCTGGGCTGATGCTAGAGTTGCTGATAAGAGCAGACTACCCTAGCATTCCTTGGGAGGCTCCGTCTATTGGTGGGGAGCAGCACCTGCTGGAAAGCGGGTCCAGCGTCCCTCACATTTGGAAAATAAATAATGTCGTGTTTCACAGTTGAAACAGGCCTCTTCACCCATAGTGGGGCGCCAGATATAACATTCCTTTTCTAGCCTTTACAACTATTAAAAGAAAAAAGAGAAAACTACGGCGCAGTCAGGGTTACAGTTTGTAATTGCATTTGAAACTGCATTGTAGCAGTTTAGTCAGGGCCTGAGTTTCAATTGCATTTGAAACTGCGTTTTAGCAGTTTGAAACTCGGGCTGGCTTTTTCTAGCAGTTCAGCCAGGCACATGGCCGTTTGTTTCTTTCTTTCTTCGTGTTTTTTTTTGTTTTTTTTTTTTTCCCGTCGTGTGCCGCAACGCATCGCGCCGCTCCGCGGCTGGACACACACACACACAAAAAAAAAAAACCAGCCCCATGGCTGGGCCCAGGCTGAGATGTCTCGGCCACACCCCAGACTGGCCACGGCCGAGATGTCTCGGTGACACCCCAGACTGGCCATGGCCGAGATGTCTCGGCCACACCCCAGACTGGCCATGGCCGAGATGTCTCGGCCACACCCCAGACTGGCCATGGCCGAGATGTCTCGGCCACACCCCAGATTGGCCACGGCCGAGATGTCTCGGCCACAGCCGAGATTTGTCGGCACTACCCTTCACAGGCAAACGCGAAGTCTCAAGAGCAGGCTTCTCCGAAGAAGTGGGGGGCTCGGGGCAGGGATGGAGGCCAAAAAAAGAAAAAAGAAAAAGAAGAAATAAAAAAGTAAAGAAAAGAGGAACTTCACCTACCTCCGGAAGGCCCTCACGTCACCAGTGCTTTGAGGAATGTATCTGGCCAAGAAGTGAGGAACATGAAACAGGTCGTTTTCCTTTTTTGTTTCTTGTTGTGAGGTCCTTGTAGCGCCCTGCCAGCCAGGCAGGGTGGATTCCACGCGAGGCAGCTAACTGCCTCGCCTCGTTCAGTTCCAGACAAGTACTATAGCATCTTGTATAGGACTGCAATCACGGCATAAGGGATGTTTTTTTTTTGTTTTTTTTTTATATGCTGTTCGTGGATAGAGGAGGGCCCTGACTGAACTGCTACGGAAAGGCAGCCCGAGTTTCAACTGCAATTGAAACTCGGGCCCTGACTAAACTGCTAAAACGCAGTTTCAATTGCAATTACAAACTGTTTTGGTGACTGTGCCGAAGTTACCCCAAGAAAAAAGTGCTGATATGGAGGTCTAATCCTCCATTTCTCCTTCTTCTTCAAGCCTATCCTTTCCATACCATGACAGCGGTACTATTGCATTCTGGGGTAATGTGAAAAGGTATGGGAACTCTTGAGCATGGCGGAGAGGTATTGAGGGATCCACCAAGGTCCATTCATTTCAACTTGTAGTTCCTGACGAGGTCCTGTTCCTCCTTCATTTCAGCACCCGCCTATCCTTTTTTTTTCCTTAACACACTCGCCCTGGGTGGTGCTAGAGGTGTTGGTATAAACAGACACCTCTAGCACCCCCAGGCAGGCTCCATCTATTGAGGGGGAGCATCACCTGCTGGAAACCGGGTCCAGCATCCCTTGCATTTGAAGAAAGGTCACGAGGCATTGTGAGATAGCATGCTGGAAACCGGGTCCAGCGTCCCATTGCTGCATATCCTGTACTTTCTCAAACAAAACCTTGGCCTGGGGCCCAGCAGGGCCACTGGGGGGCACCAGTGGTCCCTSCCTGTTCCCCAGTCCACTTTCCAGCTGGAAAGCGGGTCCAGCGTCCCATCGAGGCCCAGCAGGGCTGCTGGGGGGCACCAGCAGTTCCTTTTTGTTCCTCAGCCCAACTTCCTGATCACACGTGAGTTTGAATTTGCTGTTTTATGCTGTCCGTTATTGAAGCTGATTTGATGATTGCCCCCCCGCCCCCCCGATATTGCACTTTTATTAATAGGGCCCAGTGCCCAAGGCAAATTACATCATGAGGATAGTCAACAACAAGGATGTGGGGTTGTCCTGCCCCTCCAGGAGCTACCCACTCATTACCGAATCGCAACCAGCCCTGCCAAAAAAACATCTCTACTCTCATGTACAACCTCCCTACCAACACTCGTAATGCAAACAAATCAAAACTACCAATTCCAAATAGACGAAATTCTAACAGGCCACAGAAAAAAGCGAAAACATGAACGGAATCAAAACTACCAACCAATTCCAAATAGACGATATTCTTTTTTTTTTTTTTTTGAAGCCCTCTTGCAAGGCATCCCGGCGACGGTAAGAGAGCCGCCAGGATTGAGGCTTTGGCTGCCGGGCCGCTCCATCTATTGGTGGGGAGCTACACCTACTGGAAACCGGGTCCAGCGTCCCTTAGATACATTCGTGAAATTCAAGTCCGGGCTACCAGCATTGGTTACTCTACTTCAGAGCACACAGCTTCTCTTTGGAGCTGCTCATAGTCCCCTTCCCTAAGCGTGGGCATTTCCTATCATCTTGCCCTGCCCGCACCTAGAAGTTGCTCAGTAATGATTGTCAGCCTTAAGGGCACAAAACACGAAAATACGAAAAATCGAAAAACCTACATACATAGAATCTGACGCTAATTCCAACCAAGCGGGTAAAATAAACAATGAACCCGAATCAATAGAGTCAATACTTAACCCTGTCGAGGGTATCTAAGCTCTCCAACACAACTTCCAACACAACTTCCAACACAAGGCTGTCACGGGCATCCAAGTATTTTCCATTTAGGCACCCTGCAACAAACCAAAGGCCGGCAACAGAACAAATTAGGGTCGCCCACCTATCATAAACTCAATATTTTGAGTTCAAGCACGGCATCGTAGAAAATACCACTGTCCCACATCCCCTATCCCAACCTTCGAATTTCTCGCACACCCTGTCTCCTCACCAAGCCAAGGCCAGCAACAGATCAAATAGGGCTGCCCACGCATAAGAGTGCAAACCATTTTGCTTGAGCAAGGTATTCCAACATAGAACCAGCGAACATCAACCTTAGAACAGGATTGTCAGCGCCACAAGTAACAAGGAGCCAATGTGAGGACACGCAGTGGCAGGCATCGAAAAGGAAAATCCCACAAAACACGCAGGCTAAATAAGGAAAGAGCGAAGAGCAAGAAAAATTAGACATATAGAAAGAGCGAAAAACAAGAAAAATCAGACAAAGTTTCGAATGAAATGCAACATGCGATTTCGGAACCACCCCTAGCACCAAACCTAACCCTCAACGAGCGATGCATGCCCGGCGAGCGCTCCTGTTAATCGACCTCAAGTCCTCGCCTAAAGCAGCATCTTCAGCCAAAAAATCAACGGCTACAGCGGCTTCTTCAACAACATCTTCAACCAAGACTCCATAACGAAGACCAGGCGTGCACCAGCATGCTGATCAAGCACCATACCCGGTAAAGGAGCATCCTCCTGTGAGCACGCCACACCCACACACCAACGCACTCTCGACTCAGCATGCCAGTATAACCATGCCTAACAACCCCATGACTAGGAGTGGCAGGGGCAGATGAGACCAGTCAAGCATGGCAACTCAACCGTGGTGGTGCCCGCCGCCGGGCCCAGCCCCAGCCCGCAACTTCGTTGGCTTGCCTCACCCAATCAGCTTCGGGCTATCGTGCTAGGCCACTCCGCAATGCTCTCCCTGCAGTGCTAGCGCTGCTGATTTGATGATATCCTTGTTTGTTTTTTGCGTATCCATTTTTTTGTTTTGCCTCTTCCTGCTTCTTCCTCCCCTTCTCTTAGAAGGGGTGAAGCACCTAGCTCTTTTTTTTTTTTTTTTTTAACCTCAGCCTTGACATAGGTACAGATGCATCAGCATAGTGAAGTGCCCTTTTTTTTTTCTTTTTTAGTGAAGTGCCTTAGCTCATTGTCTGTTCAGTACGGGCTTCATGTGTGGATCTTTCAGGCAGATGGGCTAGGTGAAGACCACTTGTTTTTTTCCTTTTCTTTCTATGTTTTTTTTCTTCTCACTTTTGGGCCCTATTATGAATGAAGATAACCTTCTGGACTCAGGTTGTTCTTGGGTAAGATGTGAGATCTCATCTTGTGGATTAACTCTCTAGTTCTCCTGCTTGGCCTCTCTCTCTCTCTCTCTCTCTCTCTCTCTCTCTCTCTCTCTCTCTCTCTCTCTCTCTCTCTCTCCTGATGCATTGTGTGCAGGAATCTGAATGTCATTGGAAACACCATGGACCCCTCGAAGGTTGTGATCATTAAGAACGACCGTGCGGGGACAGTCGGCCCCAGTGGGGAGAAGCTGAGGACCATCGGATCTGCCACAGTTGGGATCAGCGCGTCGAATATCCTATTTCAGGGCATAAGTTTTGTCAATGATGCCCCCCGTCCCACTCCCGGGACTACCGATGGCCAAGCGGTCGCCCTGCGTGCCGGAGGCTTTAATCTGCAGTTTTACAACTGTCGTTTCCAGGGGTTCCAGGACACTTTGTATGCTCACAAGGGGCTTCATTTCTTCAAGAACTGCTACATTGAGGGGACCGTCGATTTCATCTTCGGTTATGGGTTGACGCAGTTCGAGGACTGCTATATCAACAACCTGCCCAATGCTTTCACCGTAACAGCGCAGAGCAGGAAAGCGAGGTCGGAGAACAACGGGTTCCTATTTCTCCGCGGAACGGTCGCCGGGTCTGGCGGTGCTCTCCTCGGCAGAGCATGGGGAGCCTTTTCCACGGTTTGGTTCGTCCAGACCAATCTCCAGGCCTCCATCGACCCCAAGGGATGGGATGACTTCCGCGACCCCGCTAGACAAGCAACAGTGGACTATGCGGAGTATGGGTGCACAGGAGCAGGCGCTGACAGGAGCAGAAGAGTCACGTACTCTCGTGCGCTCTCGGCCGCCGATGTCCAGCCGTATCTGGACGGCAGCCGTAAATGGATCAACGGAGGATCCTGGGTCCAGGTTCCCAACCCATTGCCTGGAGTGCCCACAAGCTAGCTGGCGCAGAAATGGTTCAATGTACAAGGTGTTTAAATATATACAGTAAAAAAAAAAGCGATGAAAAAGTAGATCGGGGTGTTTTGTAGTATTTTATACATTGAGAGAGAAAAAAAATGTTACGTTTTTTGTTTTTTTTTAGAAAAAAAGGCAACTTTGGAAGTGGTGATTGGGGCAGCAGCAGCAGATGCAGTGAAACCATCGCTGGCTGAGATAAATTTCCAACCTTTTTTGCTAGTTAGTTAATGGTTAGCTAGTGATCCGGAAAGTTTTTTTTTTAAATCGGGTGGGGCCGGCTTGTGGGGAATCTGAGGGGATGGGATTTGCGGTGGATGGAAGAGAAATAACCACATTAGCTTGTCCAACGATGTGTCAGGTGGATTTCTGAAAAGTGGCAATTGTTGTCATTAGGAGTCATTGTGTTGTGTTGAAGTTGTGGTTAACTCTCAAGGCTCTCAAAGTATAAATAAATGATCAATGCATTTTTTGGGAAAGGCGGCTTTTTTCCCCCTTTCTTTTTTTCTTTTTCTTTTTTTTTTTACAAAGAAGAGCAGTTTGGCTGTGGTAATGATGTGTGTGTGATTTGATGGGAGCTGGCTTCCCCCTCACAAGAAAAAAAAAAAGGAAATAAATACAAATAATGACTGAGATGGTAAACTTGTGAACTTAAATTCTGTGATACCTGTAATAGGGACGCTGGGCCCGTTTCCCAGCAGGTGCTGCTCCCCACCAATAGATGGAGCCTCCCTCGGACCAGCTGGAAGTGACTGCTCATACCAGCGCCTCAAGCTGCCTCCGAGGCCGTTTGCGCTTCAAAAAAAAGAAAAAAGAAAAAAGAACGAAAGAAAGAAAGGAAGAACTGGTGGTTTAAACTGCCAGGACTGGGTACCAGCCTTGCAGAAAATCATGAGTTGCCTACTCCGAACTTGTTGGGGCTCGGGGCTACGGGACCACAATGGCTGGCGGCGCCAGCCAGGAAAGAAAAAAAAAAAGTGGCTGCTGCTAGTTCTCTCTTCTTTTAGCCCTGGTGCACCCCCACCCCCCCTGTCCTTCCCTAGTGTCAACTACCCAGGACCATCACCCATCCTTCCTCTCATCTTTTTGCCCTGGTAGCAGCATGTTCATACCTAGCTCCCGAAGTCCCAGTGCAATAGAGCAGGCACGGCGTCTGCTTCAACCAGGGCTGAGGGCGTCGTTCGACACTCCTCGGGGCGTCCTCGGGCTCCGAGGAAGAATCCTCGGAAAAGTTTAGGGTTTTTGTCGTCTTCGTTCCACTCATCCCCGGAGCATCGGTTTTAGGGCTCGTCCTCGGAGCAATGTCAGAAAAATAAAAAGAAAAAAAATTGTGCTTCAGGCTTTTAGCCAATAGGGTGCCGCCACGATCAGAAATGTAGGTTGTAACGTCTCTCTACGTGCATGCCCTCTCCTCTCCGTGAAACACGGATCCTTGGGCTCCAAAGGACCTCGCGAGGTCCCTTGGAGCCGAGGACGATTTGGCTGGGAAATCCTTGGAGCCCAAGGATTTGTCCTCGGAGTGTTTTCACGTTTCTGTTCCGAAAATCGCTCCTTGGAATTGCATCCCCGAGGAGTGTCGAACGACGCCCTGAGCAGGGGGTTGGGGTCTCTGTTTAGCCCGGGTGCCTGCAACCACTGGCTGGTCAGGTCACCCCGCCAAGATTGCGATGGGTGATGGCGACTCAGGTGACTTGGATACTATATATAGGGGCTCGTTAGACACTCGAGCGCATAAATCCCCCGAGGAAAATTTTGTTCCACCTATCCTCGGATATGAAAACGAAAAAGAAATGTGACAACATTTTCTTGGGGAATCCTTGGGGCGTCCTTGGGCTACAGCCATTTGGTGGCATTCACAAAGGGACCTCCCGAGGTCCTTGGAGGTCAAGGATCCACGATAATCGGAGCGGCGAGGCCACCCGTTGTCAGCAAGAATTCTTCGTCGGCTGGTCCATTGGAGTTCCTACCGGGCAGCGCACCGACATCTTGGGGGGGGCACCTGCTGGAAAACGGGTCCAGCGTCCGGGTCCAGCGTTATAATTGCACAACAGGCAAAGATACAGTTTTTTTTTTTTTTTTTTTCCCCCAAAGTTCGATGGCTCCGTTCTATTCGTGGGGGGGGGCACCTGCTGGAAAACGGGTCCAGCGTCCCATTCATACATAAATCCAAGATCCATGGAAAGAAGTTAGAACAGTTCTGCTACACAACAGTTTCAGCAGGTCCTCTAGACCTCTTCACCCCAAGGCGCCAGAAAATAGTGAGTAACTAGTCCTTTGGACCTGCTGAAGCTCAGACTCAATCAGGTCAGTCAGGTTGGTCCCGGGAGATTTCAGTGCAGGATGTTGTTCTCGAGCTATCCAAGATCTGTACTGAAATTCTCCCCTCTTCAAGGCAGGTGCGGGCCCATCAGCCATGGCTCAATGCAAATACCCCGAGCAGACAACCTCAACATACGCACCTTCTCACCCCAGGATCTGGAAAAAAAAAAAAAAAAAAAAAAAAAAAACAGAACCTGGTGCTCCTTTTGTTCCTGCCCCGGTTAGCCTTCCTCCAGTCCGCCCATATGAGGGCCCTTACCTTTGCTAAAATGAGGTTCATAATAACGAGCTCCGAGTAAAATTTATTGTGGAAGAGTCTATCATTCCAAATAGTATGTATAATCGCTGCTCTGCACTAGATGACTACATAGCTCCAGCCTTGTCCCACTTCTTGTAAATTGGCAACCATCCCTTCCACAATCAAATGTTCATCCCACTCTATCTTCACTCCCGCATGCTTGTCCCATAGGCTCTGCCACCACCTCCATATCCTTTCTGATTCAATACAGTCCCACCATAGGTGTGTGGCAGACTCCTCCTTCTTACACCTACAGCACACGGCCTGAACATCCATTCCCTTCCTCGCCAGCCCCATTGCTGTAGGGACTGTTCTATGCGACTGACTCCTGATACTAGGTGAAGAGGCTCCCTTCATCCCCCCAGTTAGTCACCAAAGGGAGGCTCGACCCGGTTACCAGCACACCAAGAGGGTAGAAAAGATAGGAAAGATAGAAACTGTTAAGATGGCTGGAAGAGCAGGTGCTGCTCCCCACCAATAGATGGAGCCCCCTGGGAAATGCTAGTGGTGTCTGTTCTTACCAGCACCCCTAGCATTCTCTCGGGTTTGAAAAAAAAAAAAAAAAAAAACGATGGCCGGCAGACGAGAGTGTTCACAAGCTTGTTTTGTAAGGGACGCTGGACCCGGTTTCCAGCAGGCACGATCTTATTCTTGTTTCCAAGGCACGCTGGACCCGGTTTCCAGCAGGTGATGCTCCCCACTAATAGATGGAGCCTGTCCCCAGGTGCTAGCAATGTCCGCTCTTATCGGCACCGCTAGCACAGCAGGGGATGGTTAAAAAAAAAAAAAAAAAAAAAAAAAAGACTCCTGAATTTAACCGATGAGATTTTCATCAGATCCCACCACACTTTCCTCAAGGAGGCTGTCGTGACCTTGGAGACAGGTGAGGACCTTTCCCTGGTCTCCACAACCCGTCTACTTTTAGCTTCCAGTGGCAGAACGGAAGATCTAATTTGCTCCCTGTATCCTGTTCTGGGTTTATAATCCAAGAGGTACGTTTTCTTTTCTAGTATGCCCTCCTTCCAGCCTATGTGCAATGGTAGCACAGGTAACCTGTGTGCAGGTTCGGTGCCAACTGGGCATTCATATGTATGTTTGTCCTTGTCTGAACTTTTTGCTCTCACCACCACTGACGCTACCTTAGGACTGAGACGAGCTAATTGTTCCTCAGATGGTACAAGGAAGTGGGGACCTGCACGGTGGCCGCCATGGTCCAGGTCCCCACTTCCTCCATCCAGGTCCTGTTTCGAATTGCAGTTCGGGCAATGTATACAACCCAGCTTTCTTTTTTTATTTTTTTTATTGTCATGCCGGGAAACAGGCCCGGCCTCCCTCACAAAGTTCGCCGCAGAACGCAAGCTGAGCAAGACTCTCCGGCCAAGCAAAGCCAGGGCCAGGACTGGCGCAGAAAGAGCAACCCCTTCCTCTTGTCTTCTCTTCTACTGCTTCAACCCATTTCTTAAACCACCAGTACCTCTACCAGCTACAAAAAAAATTGCAGCCGTAAACGCGCCGCGACTTTAGGGGGTTGGGCAAA